TTGAAAAACGGACCTAAAACTGTGAATTATGTATTCATCGGTTATGCACTTAATAATAGTGCTTATCGGTTTCTAGTTTGTAAATCTGATGTCTCAGATATACATGTTAATACGGTTGGTTATTGAGTCAAGGGAAGTTACTTTCTTTGAAGACGTATTTCCGTATAAGAAAATACATGAATCAAGTGGTTATAATGATGATCAGTTTGTGATACCTCGGGATGCTACAACTGATACTGATCCTGTAGAGGATGTAGAAGATGAACCTAGACGTAGCAAGAGGCAAAGGACCGCCACATCCTTTGGACCTGATTTTATGACATATTTATTAGAAAATGAGGCTCGGACATATAAGGAAGCTATAACGTCCCCGGAAGGACCATTCTGGGAAGAGGCTATCAATAGTGAGATAGAGTCTATCTTGTCCAACCACACTTGGGAATTGGTAAACCTTCCTCCTGGCAATAAGCCTTTAGGAAGTAAGTGGGTATTCAAAAGAAAAATGAAAGAGAATGTCACTATTGATAAATATAAAGCAAGGCTTGTGGTAAAAGGCTACAGGCAACGTGAAGGTCTCGATTATTTCGATACTTATTCACCTGTTACAAGGATCACATCCATTAGGATGTTGATCGCGGTAGCTGCATTGAATGGATTAGAAATACATCAAATGGATGTCAAAACCGCTTTCTTAAATGGCGACATTGAAGAAGAGATATACTTAGAACCACCTGAAGATTTTGTTGTTCCAGGAAAAGAACGGAAAGTTTGTCGCTTAATAAAATTTCTTTACGGGTTAAAGCAAGCTCCAAAGCAATGGCATGAGAAATTTGACAAAGTTATGTTGACAAATGGATTTTGAATTAATGAATGTGACAAATGTGTCTATGTTCGAAATACTGAAAAAGGTTTTGCCATTGTCTGTCTTTATGTAGACGACATGTTAATCATGGGTAGTAATAATCAAATGATTAATGCTACTAAACAATTACTTAAAAGTAAGTTTGATATGAAAGATATGAGGATAGCAGACGTTATCCTAGGTATTAAAATCCATAGAACATTCACAGGGTTGGCCTTATCACAGGCTCACTATGTAGCTAAGGTTCTTGAGAAATTCAAGAGTTTGAAAATAACTCCTGTGAGGAACCCTGTAGATTCTAATCTGAGTTTATTAAAGAACACTGGTAAAGTTACAGCACAAAAGCTATATGCTCAAGTGTTGGGAAGCCTTATGTATGTTATGAACTGCACCAGACCTGATATTGCTTATGCAGTAAGTCTGTTAAGTCGCTTTACTAGTAATCCAAATGAGAATCATTGGAAAGCTATGGTAAGAGTTTTGGGATACTTGAAGTATACTCAGAATTATGCTTTGCATTACGAGAAATACCCTGCGGTTATAGAAGGGTATTGTGATGCAAATTGGATCACCGGCTCTAACGACACTAGATCCACAAGTGGATATGTGTTTACCCTTGGTGGAGGTGCTATGTCTTGGAAATCGTCTAAGCAAACCTGCATTGCAAGGTCAACCATGGAAGCATAATTTATTGCTTTAGATAAGGCCGGTGAAGAAGCCGAATGTCTTCGTAATTTTATTGAGGATGTTCCTAATTGGCCAAGACCGGTACCATCCGTATGCATACATTGTGATAGCCAAGCAGCTATTGGAAGGGCCAAGAACGTCATGTATAACGGTAAGTCTAGACACATACGTCGAAGACATGATACCGTAAGACAACTATTCTCGAATGGAATCATTTCAATTGACCATGTTAAGTCTAAGGAAAACATAGCGGATCCGTTAACCAAAGGGATTCCAAGAGAGTTGGTTGAAAATTTGTCGAAAGGAATGAGTTTAAGGCCTATCAATTGTTGAGCATTGCGGTAACTCTACCTAGAAGAGTGGAGATCCCATGAACTAGGTTCAAAGAGACAACTAAGTGATGGTCGACTGTTTAAACACTGTGGAGTTTTTAAACTCATACTCATTCCTAAGACAAGACAGTGTATTTATGAGGGTAAGCACAAAGGCTTTTAATGATTTCTTAATCTGTTGTGTTCAGATGATGTATAAGTGAGTTACATCGCAAGAAATCACCTATGTGAGTGTGAAGTGAGGGCCGCTTCTATGAGAATTTTTCAAAGGCCGATTCTCTAAAACACTCGCAGAACCAGGCAGGTGTCCCACGGCCAAAATGGGCGCAACAAAGGACCAACAATGCTAGAGAAGCAATTGTGTGACTCCTATTGTCTAGGTATACACTAAAGGTTGACGGTTCAAGTCGACCTAGACCACCGATTGACCGAGTATATCCGATAGGTTTCCACTAGAGAAGGTTCATAGGTAACTTCACCTATCTCGATGCAGTTGTTTCTCGTTGAGGAAATTACACGTTGCATTTATACTCTTGTGCATTTTTTGTCACGATGATTTGACTTCTTATCCATGTGGGGGATTGTTGGAATTTATATATAAATATATAAATTGTGCAGACACTCTATTGATTATGAATAAGAAGTTTGGTAATGAAAGGGTGTGTCTTTTCGTCGACAAACAAATGTCTCTTTTCATCCTAAAGGATGTGTTGTTTCATCCGAACGGATGTGTTGTTTCATCCGAACGGATGTGTTGTTTCATCCTAATGGATGTGTTGTTTCATCCTAACGGACATGTTGTTTCATCCTTGAATGGGTGCCTTTTCGTGTTGAACGAATGTGTCTTTTCGTGTCCAACGGATGTGTTGTTTCGTCGTCGAATAGGTGCCTTTTGAAACGTGACCGGTCAGTGTCTATAAATAGACACTGACACCTTCATAAAATGGATCCAATTTTTCTGCACTGAAACTCTGCCGGAATTTTTCTCCTTCCGGTTTTGCATGTTCCTTTTCATAATCCGGTGTAGTTTCCTCTGGCATATTGTTGTGTTCGTTTGGGCTGTTGATTGGTAGTGCCACCATTCTTCAGACGAAATCCGTTATATCCTGGGAGACAAGTGTCCATCAACCTTAGGCATCAGTGAGGGGGCAAATTGTCTTAAGGAGACACGTTCTGTGGGCTCGGATTTAATTCCTCTGATACTGCATATATTCATCCTTTCATTCTGTCTATTTCATCATTCTGCCACTGACAAGTAAGTCTGTTTTTAATATTTTTAAATACACAGTGATAATTCTGATCATCTACCTCCTCTGCTTTATACATGGGTTCAAATCTATTAGTGATATAATATCACCCACTGTCTTCAATAACATATATTACCCTACCATTTTGGGTAAGTAAAAGCAACAAGGGAAGATTTTGGGTCAGATAGAGTCATTTTCCATGTTGGTATTTGACATATTTTTATTTATTTATTTATTTTTGGATAATTCTCATTAATGTGAGGTCATCATAAATCTTGAGTAAGTTGGGAACTGTTTAACAAGTTGCTCTAATGAAATAGAAAATGTGTTCGAGATGGATGCTAGCTATCAGCCGTAAAAGGATGAGTATTGAATACGATGCTGTCAGTGAGGCTAATGAGAATCTCTTAGGTTACTTTTTTTATATGATATTATGATATAAAATTTTGTATTTATTTTTTTTAGATAAGTATTCACGAATTATAATGGAATTTCAGTTATTTAAGATAGATATATAATTTTCACATGATTTTGACATATAAAAATATCTATTCTCTAAGAATTTGATTTGAATGCTATGAAAATGATGTAAGGTTAGTCAGTCTTATGATTTGTATCAATCAATAGTGAGCTTTCGGATAATATTTATCACCTTTGAGTGTACACAGCAAAATATCAAATTTAATCAATTCTCAACAACCCACAAAAGTAAGGAGAAAAAAATAAAATAATATTGCTCAAGAACTCAATTTACATAAGGATCATTAAAGAAGGGTTGATAAATCATGTTAATAGAATGATCGTTATGGCAAGATAACTCATGTAAGAGAGACACTGTACGTACCACCTAATCATATATACGCGCATCATTAATATTTTAATTAATACGTAAAAACAACAACATCTTTATCCGAAAAAACCTATTCACACGCTCAGTCACACGATGATCATGCATGTTCTAATCTAATTGCTTGTTGAGTGCTTTCAGCCTATTCTACTCCTTCCAAGGATGGCAATGCAAGTTAGTTCTCTCTGGATAAATGAATAGTTTTGCATTACCATAAATGAATAGATTTCAATAATTTCTTACTAAATTATGTCCATTTCTTTTTAATGCATTACTCATTCATAAACTCCCAAGGATAACCACCACTAACGTCAAGATAAGTCAAAATGTATGTGATAAACAAGTATATTCTATTGAACCACATTTACGAGTCCATTTTCAGATAACAAGAGCGAACCAATCCAGCGAATTTAGAAGGGCTCCTTATTAGAAGAAACTAGAAAGAGCTTTGAAAAAGACTTTGGGCACCTTTGGTTGGTGGGAGAGAGTGTATTTAGGATAATGAAATTCTAATTTTGGATAATGAGCACATTTAATTATAGGAATGTACAACGATTAATTGGTTATGATACACGGAGTGCATCTCAATATTTTCTATTTTTCTTTTGTTTTACTTAGGTGGATTTTCAAGGTAAAAAAGTCATATAACAAACTCACCCTTTAAATAATGCTTATATTTTGACAAACTTTAGCTTGATTGTTGAATTCAAGCCCACAATTTTGGTATAAAACTACTTAAGTACCTCAAATTAAAATTCACCAACTAATTAACAAACTCCAGTGCTAGAATTACATTAAAAGTTCTTGTTGGAACCACAAACAAGGTTGCTGAGTGGACCAATAACCACTCATGTTGATAAATTAGAATTTCAGTTACTAGAAAAGATTCCAACACCTATAAGAATACATACGCGTACACACTCTCTCCCACCAACCAAAGGAGCCCCTTAAAACTCTTTCTTGTAATAAGGAGCCCTTAAAAGTTAAAACTCTGCATCATCTTAATTCTACCAAAAAGGCAAAAAATGAATGCTTCGGCACTTTGTTCCCTGTTGTTAACCCTTTGCTTGATCCTCATATCTCATTCTCCTTTGCAAGCAAATGCTAAAGGTCAGAGGGTGTGTGGCCAAGTTTGTAAGGAAGCATTGGAGGACAGGGCCATGTGCATGACCATTCTGAGATCAGATCCACGAATCCTACGTTCAAAGAACTACGTTCAACTATCAAAGATGGTCCTCCAGTTGGCATTGAACAAGGGCATTGAAGGCCAGAACTTTCTCAAACAATTGGCTCTCACAAACATATCTCCAGCCATTGAACAATGTGCAAACTTTGACTATGATGGGGTTGTTGAATCATTCAAGAGTGCACTGGGAGAGTTGGAAGATGATCCTCAAACAGCAAACTATGATGCCAAAGTAGCTGGTGATGGACCTGACACCTGTGAGAGAGGCTTGGCTGCAGCACATATAGTTAACCCTGCTATTTCTGCTCTTAACCGGGAAATATTGTTGCTTAGCAAGATTGCATTCCTAGCCACAAATAAACTTTAATTTAATTTCCTAAGGTAACTTAGTCTTATGGGTGTGTGCCTTGCAATGGAAATACATATGGTTATGTTGGGCAGGGCCAACCTAAGAATAAGAAAATTGTTCGGGAGATTTTAGGGTCTCCTTTGGTGTGAAGTGTGGAGGGAGAATAATTAATAAAATCTACTATTATTTGTTCTATTAAATATTGGGAGCATCTAATCTCCTGTTGTGTATGAAACACTTCATTTTATGTCATAGACCCAACACATGGTGAGTCTCACCATATGTTAAAAAAAAAAAAAAACATATTTATCGATGTATGTACAACATAAGTCAACTCTCTCCTACTATACGAGATAACAACTTTCCTTAAATATTTACTTGTTTCCTTTCTTGTTGTTTTATTTAAGTAAAATAAACTTTAATGAAAAGCATCATAGTTAAGCAAGTTTTTTTTTAAAAAAGTAAAATAAAATAAAGAAAATCAGTTTTTGACTTTTTGTGCAAAATATGTTAAATTTGCAAGCCATGGAATTCAAATTTGCACCTCTGAGATGGATAGAGGTAAGTTCAAATATTACATTCTCTGTAACTTTATTGTTATAATACATTTATTATTATATTTATTATATATTAATATATAAATTCAGTCTAATCAGTTTAATTAATGACCAACTGATTACACTAGCAACCCATTAATCAGTATGTTAACTGAGACGACCACTTGTCCGATTTTAATAACATTGCGAGAAATGATCAAACCTTTGAGAAGGCAACTTTATTTGGGAAATCTCTACATATACGAATATTACCAGCAACTTTCGTATCATATGTATAGTAAATAGAAAATCTTGATTAAACTAAACCAAACCACACTTGAATGATCCAACAACTTCATTTTTGGAACAGTAGGCACGAGGAATGTATTGGCTTTATGTTTGCATCCTTTAGTTTAGGCCAATTTAAAAGTAAATCTTCAAAGATTACCATAATTTTTGGCTGATGAAGTTTTAGAAATGGTTCTCAGCGTTGCCAAGAAGTACATGACGGGAAAGGGAAAATGGGAAAGCAGAATCAAGGATAGGATGGATAACAAGAAAAAACAAACAGTATCACATTAATAGCAAGGATAAAAGCAATTCGAACAGAGGACCCATTTTTCACAGTGCCTAAAACGCAGTATATAGGGAGGCTTTTTCAGTATCACAACTGGTTATTTACACAAAAGAATAAAATGCCAAATAAAGATGAGATTCACATATTCCACTGTTAAAAAAATTAAAATAAAAATAAAAATAAAATCAAGACACTTCCTTCGTCTCAAACAATTACAAACACACATTTCTATGCCTTCCCAAAGAGCTAGGATTATCACAAAAAGGTAAACTAAGTTTTTATACCAAAAGTTCCAACCAATTCAACTCCCATTTGTATAGTGGAAAAATCTTTACCAAGGAGCATTTCCTTTTCCACTTCCACAGCATCTATGTTTGATGCCATAAGAATATCATAAAGACAAACCACAACCCTCATTGGCGCATTTCCTTTGAAGTGACATAGTTTCTGCTTTCAGTGATATTCGAATTGGCAAGGACCTCTTGAGCAATTTCCCAGCTTCCACTCCTTTCCCAGCTTGAGTGCCTAGCATCGGATCGAATTGTGGGAGCTCTATGATCTGAGGACATAATTGAGTCCGGTTCAGATGTATGGGGTTGTCCATTGCTCCCTCTGCTCCGAATGTCCTCGTCAAGTTCTTCAATATTCCTACGCTGTGATATCTTCAATAAGTCTTCACCAATATCTAGATCATCTTCAACCTTAGGACGGCGATCCCCACCCAACTCATCTGGTTCACGTTCTCGAGCAATGACTGGAGCCATCGGCCTCTGCACCTCTTCTTGAAAAAAGGCCCTGAAATTGTTCCTTGAGGGCTTTACTTTTGTGCAAAACACTTCCAGAAAATTATTTAAACAACCACGATTAAAAACATTGATCCTGCCGTCAGCTCTGTACCGGAAGTTCTCATAGGTAGTCTGCAAAACAAGGGGCACTAACCGCGGTGATGAACATATTCATGTAACACAAGAACTCTGAGAATCAATTTCCAGAGAACAAAGTAGTATGGTTATAAGCTACATGAATATAGACATGGTACAGTTTCTATCCTACAATACACAAGACAACACTCAGCAGATGTATTAAATATATCTTCCATACCATGAAAAACAGTTAGGAGGATGACTTTCTTTCCACATCTGGAAACAAGTAAATCAAGCTTACATTGAGAAGAAGAAAATAGAGAAGAAAGAACCTAATGAATATTTAAATTTCCCTTTATAAGAATGAAGGGAAATGTAAGAGGGAAGAAGAAAATATAATGTAAGATTTTAGAATTTTTTATCAAATTTTTTTTCATCCCAACCAAACATAGCATTAATGTATGCAGACAGACAGTCATATTCCATCATTACATACACAGCCTAATTTTCGGTTACCTTCAAAGACAACAAAACAACCATTGGGTGTTTTTTTTTTTAAAATGTCCAGCTCAGTTTCATGATTTGTCCTTGTTAACACAACCTGAACTGGCATATGGATCATACTATCATAAAAGTATTGATTCACTGAAGAAAGAAAATAAATTCAACTATTGCATTTCTGAAAATAACTTGTCTTGTGCATTTAAAAGATCTGCAGCCGTAAAGCATACTTTTTTAAATAAAGCACTGTGGGATTAGTTCCATGGAGATCACTCCTGATTTTCTTTATTTGCTTAGTTACAATCTAGTCTGAATGTACACCAACAAATGAAATATATACAAGATATATACCTGGTTTGTGCCTATAAGGTACAAATGAAAACCAGTCAGTCCACCAACAAACCACAGAGATATGAAACAATAAGCCATTAGTATCACAGATGCAGGGGATTCTTTCATTGCCTTCCAAACTGTGCCGTCATAATCATCCATCAGAACCTTGATGTAAAAAGCTGACAGGGAAAACACATAGATGCACAGAAGAGTTGCTGAAGAAACAAACATAAAGAAGTAACGGTAGTTCCTCTGCACATTAGAAAAACCCAAAAATAAATAAATAAGAACAAAGCAAACAAGTAACAACCCAAGAACATCAATGAAGAAGAAAACATGTATCATAAAATCAACTATGCCATGGATGTCAACTATCATACCAGACCAATGCATTGGCCCACCCAAGGACAATGGTGATCAAATCGCTCAACACAGTTGTTGCAAATGGAGCAATGTGAGCAACGAGGAGGACGATACAGCATACAAGTTTCACAATATTTCACCCTTATAGTAACACCATTGACCATTACATCTTTCGTTCGAGGGAACTGAAGGCTTGGTGTTTGCCTTCCGACTCCCCCAACATCAACAGAAACTGAAGAGTCATAACGAAACTCTTCCTCTGGTGGATGTGAATTCCTTGGAATGATGCCCGGATCACGCGAGGAAGTAAGACAGAGAAGCACCAGGACCTAGAGATATAGACTGAGGGATTACATTGTGTCATACTATCGGAGATCAGGAAAAAAGATTAGAGAAAATCACTATCTTAATAGGGAAATGCTATCACCAAAACAAACATTACTTAGTAAAGTTGCAAATTATTATTATTTATTTATTTATTTATTTATTTTTAAAAAAAGCTAATAGATGCATCATGAATTGCTTTGCTATGTCAGTGACTGAGTTAAACAAGCCACACTTCCAAAATGGGTGGGAAGGATATATTGTGGATTCTGAACAGTAGAAAGCATGTTCTCTATGACATTTAAGTTTGGATTATGGAGCTTTCAAACAGAACAAGTCCCAACTATGCATATAAAAGGATAAAAACATCAAATAATAAAAGAACAAACTTAACAGAACTTACATGAATAGTAAAGAGAATTGCCACTGCTAAAATAGCATAGCCTGAATTATATGAAGAGAATTCATGCCGAAGATGCCACGCTACAAATACACAAAAGATGATAACTGGAACAATAATCAGCAACAAGGTGACAAGCAGTGACCTAGCATCAGGCCCAAATATCAACCGCCCTCCAAATATGAATTTCTGCAGAAGAATAGGAGAAAAGTACGAAGTAAAATAAGAGTTCAATTGGCAGAAAATAGTTCATGACAAACTAAAACACCTCTGAAGTTAGCCAAAAACAGAATGCTACCTCATTCCAAGAGGACCGTATAAGAGATTAGAAACAAAGCTAAATAATTTCCATTAAAACATCGTCACTCCCTCCCTCCCTCTATCTATCTAACTATCTATCCCAAAGAGAGGTCGTGTACAAAATCCTATCCTATTACAATTTTGAAGGGAGAGATACACCCTTGAAAATACACCTGAGAACTGAATACACAGACAATGCCATAAAATTTCACAGTCCTTGTTCCTTCCGAAACCTTTAAAGCATATAAAGAGAAAAACTGCAATGTGTGATAGCAGTGGTGGACCCACTCATGTGCCAATGACTGCAAGTGCGGACATAAATTTTTGAATTTTTTTTTATGTATGCTCTGCTCTGTCCGACACCACCTAACCAACACAGTGGTTCATTTCTAAAGCTTTTAAAATTAAAGAAATGACACATTCCTCTACCAAGATTTCTTTTAAAACTTCGTACCTCACGAGTTAATTACAAATATTACTTTGTCCTTTTTTGGATGAGAAACATAACAATTTTATATTATACTAAGTGGATACCATTGTGGGGGGTTCATACAAGCGGAAGGAAATTCTTCAAATGCATCAATATGAGCAAATAGTTGAAAGAATTGCTCGCGGTGAAATACCAACCAAAAAAGGTTTAAATCAAGAGACAACCTTAAAGCAACTTGGAGACACTCATTGGGGTTTCCATTTTGGTACAGTTACAAGTGTTTTTTAATGTATTTAAAACTTTCTTTTAAAAAAAAAAAAATCGGGGACGATGCCCCCGAACCCCTACCACTAATTATGCGGACATAAACAAATTTCTTAGGTCTGCCACTATGTGATAGGACATACCTAATGTTGACTAGGAACCCCAAAAAAAATTAGCAAACGTATCACAGAAGTGGCCTATCTATAATATTAATATCAGCTTATTTTAGCATGTTTATAACTATATGTCCCTATTTTCATACAAACTCCAACGGCTCAACTATAATTTGAGGTATGTGTTCATAATAGTATCATGCATTATCATTCAGATTTCAGAGGTTATTATCTCTTTGGGTTCTCATCCTATTCTATACCTATGAACTAAAAGAAACACAAGATACCAAACACATCATGAAACTAATAATCATCCATTGTTTGTCACTTGTCAGACCACCTCTTATTGGCTGCAGATTGGAATAATTGACAAGAAGATTCCAGTTGTAGTCAATTATTTAGCATCAATCAACCAACCAATAACACCAGCAAACATTACCAGCCACCATCCATCTCGAATAAAAATCACTTTAACCAGCAGCTACTGCAGATTACTACCTCACGATTATCAATTTACACAAAGACCGAAATTAGTTTATGTGACAGTAGGGATGGGGGATATCAGTTTCAGCATAGCTTGAGCAGTTACTGTGAACATAGATTACTCATGCTCAATCCCATTAATCACCCTTATGCTTAATTTTTATCATCCTTTCAGAGTTTATTCTACCACAAGCCACTTGACATCATACAGAACATAGCAATAGCATGGAACCATCTATGCAGCTCAAGTGCTCCAAGTCCATCCCATGTTAAGCTAATATAATCCAACCCATAACCAAACCTACATCATATCTCGCTCATTTAATAATCAGAAAGGAGTCATTTTACCAAGACAGTACGAAAATCCTCCATGATAACTCTATTCAAAGCACAGAATCACCACAAAATATCTGACACGAAAGTCATCATTCTTTAACAAACATCGAGAAAATAATTTTTTTTTAAACGAAGGGAGCAACCCAATGATTGTAATCCTAACTATCGGACAAGATTTACTGTTTTAAATGACCAAAGAAACAAATTCAAAATTGATCAAAAGCTCGAATTAATTATACTGTTCAATTCTACCTTTCTTTTCACCCAAAATCGCATAACCTCACCCCACTACCAGCTCAACATTCAACGCAAACCCAGCTTGTAGTTTTTAAAAATCACTCTCTAAATTAATTTTTTTTTCCTAATTTACTTCCATATTCCAAATCACAAACCCACGAATCTAGAGCATACCCAGATGGCATATCAAGCAAAAAATGCTAAATTTGCAACGAAGAAGAGGGAAAAAATTGAACTTTACATTACTTCCTTTCCAAACTTGGTACACGCGCTTTGCTGCCATGAAGACTCTGCTTGACACTAGGAAGGGAAAGAGGGTAAGAACCAGAACTGCCAAGTGTTCATCTCACTCTCATTCACATTCCGGTGAATCAGAGTGTTTGGATTGAGGGTCAAAATTTGTGGGCCTCGTCTAGAATGAGATGGAAAAGCTTCACAGAAAAGAAAAAGAAGAAAGAGAGAGAAAAGGATTGTGATCCCAGAGAGACAGATAGATGGCGGTTTTTGAGTTTGGAATTTTGGAAGTATGGTTTTGCACCGAGGAATATTTTGGGGAAAATGAAAACAAAAATCTTGCGTGGGAATATGTAGCCAAAAAAAAAAAAAAATTGTTGAAATTTTTGAAGAAGAAGAAGAAGAACAATTTGCCCTTGTTTTATTTCATCTTCTTACGTCACTCTCTGTCTGTGCGACAGTGAAATTTGTTCTGATTTTCACTTACCCATTTTACCACATGACCACGTCATCATCATAGTGGGGTCCATTATTCAGTGGCATCAATGAACGATCCTGATGGAGATACTCCATTCTCTGTCACCATATGAGGTTGGGTTGCGCAGACCAATAGAAAACAATGTTTTATTGAAAGTTAAATAATTTCAATACTAATTTTATTTTCACAAGCTCACTTTCAGTCATTAAAATCAAAATATTATATATAATTAATGTTTATAAGAATTTGTAAGCAGTTTAGACTATTAAAATTATTTGTTAAGAGAAAATCTGTTTTAAGCATCATTGATTTTATTTAAAGGGGAAAAAATACTATAAACATCTTATAAAGTTTTTTCCGAATACTGCTTTTTATGGATGATGTCTCATCCAAACTGTTTTGAGAGATCCAAATCACGTTTAAGAGATAAATAAATAGCCTCGACCACCGTGACATTATTTAATATAAACAAAAGGTTACAAAACTGAAATGAAATTTGAAGGAAAAAAATTGCTTTTTTTGGTATGGAAAATAGTGTTAATGATGTAGAAATAAGTTCTACAAAATTAAATTTGTGAAAGTTAATTTGATTACACATTTAATGCTACTTTATTTTGTAAAAGTTAATCTAAATACACATTTTAATGGTACTTTACTGTTATGCCATTTTCTCTTTAAACCAAATCTTACACTTTTTCTAAAAAGAAAAAGAAAAAAAACAAATAACAGTTTCAAATGGCAATGCATGAATCCAAAAAAGCATAGGAAACAAATGGACAAAAGAGAGGTTCCAACCTGGCTTTGCTGGTCTTAGCTTGACCATGCCAGACTCGGATGCTTTAACGTCCCACCTTACACACAATTGATGCTTTATCCCAATAATAATAATGACCAATATTCCATGCCCAAGTTGTTCTTCAAAGCATATTACCAAAACCTAGGTATTCTCATTGCAAAGTCAGCTTTTTAAGTATAACAGATCCTTGACATGTTTTCGACAACTAGGATAAAGAGGCACACTCTTTCTTTTAATTTACAGTCATTGTTTGCATCAAACTAAGGAAGTGGAGACGACACAGAATGCAAAAGAAAGTAAAAAGAAAAAGTTATTAGTTATTTTTCTTTTCCATTATGACTATACAGTTATATAACAGTGTCTAATTGAGTCTTTTTTCCAGAAGTACTTACAAATAGAGTAAGTTTTGGAGTTTTCCTCATGTTATTTAGGGTTTTATTAATCTCCTTCCACATAAGATAGTTATCTTATGTGGTAGAGAGAAAATGAGTGGGTCCCACCATTACAAGAAAAAAGAAAAAGAAGAAAAAAGTGGGGTGCGAAAATCGAAGTGAGAGAAAATGAGATAAGTTACCTCATGTAAAAGGAGAGTAATATTTCCCTATTATTTATTGGGAATATAAGTTTGTTGGAGATCCTCTTCTGTGCAGTAGGAGTAAGAATAAATTTTTAGTATATTAGATACACTGATGCTAGTATATTTGTCCATTAATTTTATGACACGTAGATAAAAAAATATTACATTATCCAAAAAATACAAATGAAGTAAAAAAATTTGTCTACGTGTCATAAAATAATTAGACAAATGCACTTAATCTTCATTTCATATAATAGGGAAACTACTTCTTATGTGACTGCAGAAGGGAAAACTTGCAGCAACACAGGATACGCGTCCGAATCCTGATTATTTTTTTTTGTTTTTTTTTTATAGAATCTGCACGTGTATCCTAGGATCCGCACGTGTATCCTACTGTTAAAAATTTGCTGCAACTTTTCTCATCAGCAGTCACATGAGAAGCAACGGACCCATATACTATAGATTTATTTGCATGCTCTTTCCATTAGGAGTGGGACATTTGGAAAAATGAATTTATTTTTTCTCTCCTTTTCAATCACACAGATGGGCCGAGATTATATTAAATATTTTCTTTTGTCCGCAGAATTTTTTTTTTTCTCTAATTGACCCATTAAATCTTGGGAACCATTAGGAGAAAAACAAAATGGAAGCACGACTTTTGAGGGGTGAATAACAAAAAAAACTCATATTGCTTATTATTTATGAAAAAAAATATCTTTTTAAATGATACAATTTTATATTTTTTTAATTTTTAATATTATATAAGAATAGTACATAATTATAATATAAAAAATTATATATGGACAATTCATAATTATATATGAATAGTACATAATTTTTTATATTATAATTATATATTGCTCATAATATATAATGTTAAAAATTAAAACACGTAACTATATCCTTTAACCCGTTATTTATTGATACAGACATTTTCTTTCTCTTTATTGGTTGAAACTTGTTAAGGCCATATCTATCTAATCATGTACGTGGCAATACAAAATATGTTAACTTTATGCAATAATTACTCATAATTAGCCACCTCCAATAGCAATTATAAAATTATTTTTATGAACAATTGGGATAATGTTTTAAAAGTTATTAAATATCGAACTCGTAAGTACTTTAGCCTATAGGTCATAATTTAATTAGTTCAATTCACTAAATTAGTGATTTGATTGGAATTAAAATAGAACATATCATAAATAAAAAAATTAAACTATAAGCATAACTTATTTATGACTTAATCAATTAAATCAACTAATTTGATTCAATTTTTATAACATTGATTCGAAGTGGCTCAGAAGATGGATTTTGATACGTTATAGGTGTGTATAATAACTTTTCTGAAATTAATTATTATTTTTTTATTTATATTCTCGGGACCAGAAAAGGATAAAAAACTTGTTTGATAAAATCGATTTATTTTTTGTTCCCGGGATGAACCGGTTTAATATTTGAGTCGGGAACAAAAAAAAAGAACCAAAAAATTTATATTTTTCATTCTCGGGCATAAAAGGAGAAACACTTGTTTCTCTCAATCACTTTCCACCTCTACCATCATCATCGCCACCACCATCATCCCGACACGATTACCGCCACCATTGTCGTCGTCGCCGTCGTACCGCCAGTGCCGTCGTACCGCCAGTGCCGTCGTCGTACCACCATGCCACCAACACCTCCACCACCATCATCACTATCATCATCGTTATCACCACCAACACCATCACCTTCACCAACCACAACCACCATCATCGGAGCCAATGCCACCACCATCGTCGCCAATGTCACCGCCACCACCATGACATCATCACTACCACCGCCACCGCCACCATCTCCACTACCATCCCCAACCACCATTACCATCGCCGCAACCATTATCGTCACCACCACCATCATGCCATCATCATCACCACGCCACCACCACCACTATCATTGTCGCAGCCACTGTCGTCACCGCCATCACTACGCCACCGCCACCGCCACCACTATCATTGTCGTAGCCACTGTCGTCACCGCCATCACTACGCCACCGCCACACCGTTGCTGCTACCACCACCACTATCATTGTCGTAGCCACTGTCGTCACTGCCATAGCCACTACCGCCATCATCACCACCACCGCCGTAGCCACCACCACTGTCATCACCGCCACCACCATTGCCGCCACTACCACACCACTGCCACCACCGCCACAACCATTGCCATTACCACCACCACAATTATTGACACCACCATTGCCACCACTACCACCGCCAAAACTATCACCACCGCAGCCACTGCCGTCACCACCACTACCACCACACCATTGTCGCCATTACCACGCCACCATCACCACCACCACCACCTTCGTCACAGTCACTGTTGTCACCTCCACCATCATCGCCACCACTGCCGTACTCACTGTCGTCACCACCACCATATAAAAAGGAAAGTGACGATTCAAATTTTTTATTATATTTAATAGAATTTAATTTATATTATATTATTTATTGTGTTATCAAACATAATTCTTATTCTTGGAATAAAAATAGAACACGTTATCAAATGCATTTTTTTTTCTCATAAATTATTCCAAGGCACAAAAATAGAAAAAAAAATTAGTTCTTTTCAGAAACAATACCAAAGAAACATAATAGTTATCATGCTACCCTATACACAACAGGTTATCATAACTGATTTGATACTATAATTGATTTGATAGGTGCTCTTGTCAGATGATGTGTTAGAAGTTCAATTCACTTTGCACATTCTTAACTACAAACTATATTTTAAAACACTTTAACTCTTGGGAGGATAAAAAAACTCGAACTCAAATTTGAATTAGTTGGTTCGATATTTATAAAAAAATATAGAAATATATCTTAAAACAGTTTGTCTGAAAAAATGGTAAGCTTGATTTTGTCTAGCCTTAATCTCATGTTATTAGACATTCTATAGCTTGATTCGTAGGAAAGTTAATGGAAGGAATAGTGGTACACATATCCCTCCCCAAATTATAAAAATTTCAGGACTCAAAGAAAAATACTAAAAAAGACCTGTACTGAAATGATATACATTTTTGCTAATTTTAGAAAATGGATGTACTGGTATTTAAAAAAAAAATCTCTTAGATAGACGAGAATAATCATTACATGTATAATAAAATAAAATATTATTAAATATATTTAATGTTAAACTTTTAATACATTTTTTTTAGGAAAAACTTTAAAAAAACTCCTATAAGTTTCTTCGTAATCATTTACCCCCTTCCCAAATTTTTTAATCATTTACACTCCTACTTAAATTTTTATTATTATTTATCTCCCTAACTTGATTTTCCATCCAAAGTTAAAGTTAACAGAGTTAATCTTTTTAAAAAATACCAAAACTACCATTTAATAAAAGGAATTAACCCCTGCACTTAAAATCACCTATTGCTATTTTATCAAACTCACCTCATCCTATTTCATCAAACTCACATTACACTATTCCAAATAATTAATGTAGAAATTAAAATCTTACATACTGAAATGAAGGTCATTTTTGTTAGTTGGAAAGGATACACATCAATCTAAATGTTTATGGGTAAATGTAGATCCAACGTTAATTATACAGATGCTGACGCTTACAAAAGATACAAGCATAAGAAGCTTCACATACAGCTACAAAGCTATATGCAAAGTATTTGTGAATCTACTGTTCCATTACATTCTTTGAAGTACCATTTCCAACTAACAAAAATGAAATTCACTTCAGTATGTAAGATTTTAATTTCAACATTAATTATTTTGAATAACATAATGTGAGTTTGATGAAATAGCATTAGGTGATTTTAAGTGCAGAGGTTAATTCCTGTTTTTAAGGGTAGTTTTGGAGTTTTTTTAAAAAGATTAACTCTGTTAACTTTAATTTTTGATGGAAAATCAAATTAGAGGAGTAATGATAAAAAAGTTTTAAGTAAAGGTGTAAATGATTAAATTTTTTGGAGAGGGGGTAAGTGATTATGAGAAAATTTATAGGGTTTTTTTTTGAAGTTTTCCTTTTTTTTTTTATCCTTTCAAAGTAACTTAAGCGAAAATAAAGTTGTAGCTCGAATGTTTTTTATATTGTCATGCATTTGCATAAAAAAACCATGGGTAATATTTTTCTGCAACTAACATGAAATATTTTTTCTCTGGTCATAAACAAGAAATATTATGGGTTATACACTTATACTGCATAAAAAAATGTAAAAAATTGAAGTCAACCCTATACCTTTTTGAGTTAGTAGAAAAAATCCATTGCCTCCTATGAGATTATTATTTTCCAAAAAAACATTTGTAGTAACTAGTAACAGATAAATTGGGTTCTTTAATCTTGATTTAAAATAAATCTCATATTAAGGGATATTATGAAATATCTTAAAAAAAACACTTCATAACTTATTAAAAATATCTTACGATTAGAGTCAAGTCAACACGGTAATAAATACTAATTCTATTTTTAAATGGGAAAAATATGATGTGGATGGAAAATATGATGATTAAAATCTCGATTTATCATTATCATCTTATGTTTTTATGATTTTTTTTATTAAAATAATTTTACCAATATTTCAAATGCTTTTTATATTTTTATGATTTTTTACGTTATAATTTTACGTTTTATAATTTCTTATCATTTTTTTGATTTTATGTAAAATCTCGATTTTATTATTTTGGTAGAGACAATTACCAAAAAAGGATAATTTTACATCTAAACTTATGGAGGCACTTCATAACCTAAAAAGGATAAAATTATTTTCATTAAATTTTAAAAGAGTTAAAATAAAAGAATGAAATAATAAATTAAAACTTAATCCGTTGAATGACTATTTACCTAGTTCGAGGATTTATTTATGTATACAAGTAAGGGGCGATCATACTTGCAATTTATTTTTATTTATTTATTTTTAAAAAATAGAAATAAATTGCAAGAATGATAGGCCCCTTACTTGTATACATAAATAAATTACTTGTATAGTTGCAATTTATTAAATTTACACCTCTTACTATCCTTTTTAGATTCGTTTGATTAATTATAATTCAATGGTTTTTAATTTTTTCTCTTTCTCCATTTTCACCATCCCTCACGGTTGTTTCTTCGGATCTCTTTTCATCAATTTTTTTTTTTTTTTTTTTTCAAAACACTTGCCCTGTAATGCATTTCTCCGAGGTTTCTTCTTGATATTAAAAACATAGTAAGATTGAATTAAAAGACAATGGAAAAATTTGATGCTGAAACTATATCTTGCAAATTTTTAAAGAAAAATCTGATGCTGAAACTAATTTCTCAATTTATAAAATTTGTATAACCCTAGGCCCTTTATATTTTATTTTAATGCCTGAAAATAACTCAGTTAAGAAGAGTTATGTATAATAAAGGATTATTTGGATGAGTTTTTTTTTTTTTCTTCAAAAACTGTTTTTTTTCTTAAAATAAAGCACTTTTTATTTTTAGTTTGTTTGGATGTCTGCTTTAAAAAAAAGCAGAAGTTACACAAAAAGCAAAAAATTTATTTTTTTCAAAAGTTAAAAATTTTAACTTCTAGAAAAAGCAGAAGTCAAAAGTTAAATATTTTTTTTAAAAATTAAATATTTTTATAAAAATATAAACAACTTTAATTTTTATAAAAAATACTTCTAAAATAAGAATTAAATAAGAATTACTTTTTTGAGAAGGCCAAACAAACAGGCTCTAAATAAACATGATTAAAGTTGGGAGGGAATAATAATTTTAAGAAAAATTAGTAAGTTTCCTATATACTCAAAATGGATATGTTATATTTACAACCTCACAATTTACAAAATCTTATAAACTGTGTTATGTATTATGGGTAGTACATATTATTACATACATAAATAATATATATTATCCATAATACATAATGTAATTAGAAGAATTTATAAACATTGAATTTGTAAATATAACCATTCAGTATTCAAAATAATAAAATTTGGGTTTTGTCACCTTTTAATATTCTTATTAAATGCATATAAAGTATTTTCTATGATCTCAATAAATTTTTTTATTTTATTTTTTATCTAATAACTTCTTATTTTTTCACTTATTAATCTAACAAATTTAATAATTTTTTAACCTTTTTTATTTTTTATTTTTTTGTAAACATTCATCATAAAACATTTTATTAAAGTGTCTCCAACTTCTCCGAGTCCGATTTCATCGCCATCTTCGGCGTCACCATAACCGCTCTTGGCCGGAAACTGAGCCCTAGCCGGAAAAAGCTCCTCTCCAGTTCCGTCGAAGGATTTCTCCTTCGACCGGGAATCGGTAACGGCATTCGAAGATTGTCTATTGTTATCAAAGCTGCACAGGTTTCACTCCCACAAACCATTTGTCGCGTCTGCAATGATCGTTGATCTTTCTTTATTGGTCTGCTATGTTATGATTTTTGGAGGCGAATCTAGCCCTACCATTGTTATTGTTGGATCCATTACTCTGATTCCCTAGGTTTTAGGATTTTAGAACACGGCTCTACAATCCAGCAAAAAGGGAAAAAGAAAAAAACTATTTGAATTGTTCATTACTACTTATAGTTAAAGCTAATCCCTAGTAGCAGCGCTGGAATTGTGAATTTGTGATTCCATAGAGTGATTATATGACATTAGGTTAGGTCACCTTCAATTACCCTGTGTCCCTTAATTTTTACTACATTTAGTCTCAAATGTGATGGAGATAACACCCTCTCCAAATGAAAAAGGGAAGAAAAAAAGAAGGAAAGGCCACGAACTGGGAGCAAATTTGTATATTATTTTTGCTCGAGAAACTTCTACTAACAGTGTGTTGTTTTCAGTAGATTCACACTTTTGCAATGTGGTTGCTATAATTCATTCCCCATGTCTCTATTGGTGAAAAAATAGCTAACTGCACCTGTTCTTACCCATTTGGAAGGAGATTTTTAATAACTTTGATTAATTTTTGACAGCTTCCTTAAAAACATATAGAAAAAAAGAACTTCCATCCTACCATAGTGATTAGTGAACAATAGAGGAAAATTTGTGACTCTTAATTCTCTATAATTGCATTATGCTAGACGCCGGTGCTTATTTTGATTCTACAGGATTGGCTTGATTTATTAGTTGATTGTTGTTTGAATAAAGACATCAGAGATGAGCCCTAATCATATAAATTTATGTACTTTGCTCTCTCTCTCTCTCTCTCTCTCTCTCTATGATTAAGTACCTTTCCTATTTTTTCAGGTTGTACGCAATACAACCATTACTCATATGGTAAGTTTTTTCCCCTTTATTTTGGTTTTTGCCTCACTACATTCCTCTATGTCTAGGTTTTATTGTTATTATTATTATTATTTTATCAAAAACACTATTGTGTTTGTTATTGTGTGTTTAAATCAAGTAACAAGGACATTATTGATTTGAAGGATCCTCACACTGAAGAGTTGCCTCAATACATACATATAAATCAGAATGAATTTTTTATACGAAGGTTAGTAATTTCCTTAAGTAGTATTTCGTTGATGGTGTTTACTTATATATTTTTTGCCTTTGTTCTCAACTCCAATTCTTTGTGATTATAGTATATTTTGATTACATCGTGTAATAAGTTAAGTCTGCTATGTTTTATTTATTCATTTGAATTTGCTATTTTGTGCGTATTAGTGTTTCTTTTGTTGTCCTTATTCTCTGGTCATTTTATACACAAATCTTTGAATGTTAGTCTTAATATCAACTCCCTGGCCTTCTCCTGACCACAATAAGTCCTTCATTTTGAGTCAATCTCCATGGAATACAAGAAAACAGGAAAGCGAGAGTTATTTGGGGGACTACTGGGAAATCAAGATTTAATAAGATTATTCTAAATGCCCACCCTAGGAGTAGTAAGCACCCTTCCAAGTATCCAATAGCTTAGAAATGTTGGCGAGGACCAGATTTCCAAAGAAGTAACTGTAGTAAGGAACAAAGTTCGTGTTGTTATGATTGAAATATACTTTGATTCTACACTTAAGTAAGAATATTTTCACTTGTAGCTTTACTAACTGGTTCTGTTCACAGATAATAACTGTTCTCAGTGCTGGCACTATTGACATGAGCTTAGATAGTTTCCTGGAAATCATAGGATGTGCTTGAAATTTGACTCCTTTATTGGTATCTTTGGGAATGGTATTTCTCATTTTCAACTCTGAATTAAGTTTATGATCAAAGATATGTTGTTGAAGTCAACATCTTGCCTTGGCAAGGCCTGGTGTGGGTTAGAGTTAGATCAAGCTATGGTGCTTGGACTGGTAAGGGTAAGTAGAAAGAGGTACACCCTGACTAACAGCTATAGTTTTTGCCCTAGTGGTAAGCGCTCAATCCAACAAGATAGTTTAGAAGGACAAAATCTCTAGAAATTGCATACAACTTACAGCTTTGTTGGATATTTTATAGTGAGTTAAATGAAATGGAGTAAAGTTTCCATGTCTTTGTTTGGAAATTTATCTATGGAATGGAGGAAAGTTTCCATTTTATTATTTGGAAATTCTAGTGGAGTTGAATGGAATGATAAGAGTTATAAATTCATTGTTCAAATATAGTCCTTATCTCAAAACTTTATTATTCCTGTTTTTATTTTTGAAATTTATAAAATAAATATCACAATGATGAAAATTTTACCAATAAATGGCTTTGTTGCTGCCCAAGAATATGAAATATCTAATGAATATCACTAAAATAAAAAAATTAAAAAAATTGTTAAGTTATATTTTTCAAAGAAACCATTATTTTTTAAAATAAGTATCCACGTTACAAATTAGGAAGATGTTCGGAGTGTAAGTGCAAACTTGGAAGTGCTAAAAGGTAAAAAGGAAAAGAACATATTGGAAAGCCAGAGATGAGATGAAGGTGGTGCATTGATGAAGCTCTGAATCCAAATCTTGCGCTTGCAGAGAAAAGAAGCTTCCAATTCCATTCTTGTTGATGGACACATCAAACCCCTTGCTGTCGCCAGCTCAAGTTCTCAAGCGCCTTCCTCCTTCCGATTCCATTCCACTGGGCTTTGGCTATCTTAGACAAGCCATTACTCAATGCGAATGAGGCAGCAAGAGACTGGTTGAAAGACACTGAGGAGGAAATCAGGGGCAGCATCATGCAGCAGCAGCAAGGCTTCATGGACAAAAATAGAATCTTATATTTAATAAAAAAATTTGAATCCAACCCTTACCTCCCAATATGTAGGGGAGGAAGAATGGGGGTATGTAGTGGAATGAGATGAATGAAGTTCATCCAATTCTATTGCTTTCGGTTCTATTTTAAAAAAATCCAAATGAAATGGAATCCAAGTCCATGCCATCTCTTTCTATCCCTTACCAACAATCCAAACATAGCTTATGTTACAAGGATCAGGCCACAGGGAAATGCAAAATCAAATGACTATTTTGTATCTGAAATCTTGACTTAGCTTTATTACTTATATAAATTCATTCGCCCTTCTCTTTATTTCTGTCCAGGCATAAGAAGCAGAAGGAGGAGGATATTGCTATATGTGAATGCAGATATAATGCCAATGACCGTGACAGTGCATGTGGGGAAAGGTGCCTGAATGTATTAACCAGCACTGAATGCACCCCTGGTTATTGTCCTTGTGGTATCTTTTGCAAAAATCAGGTTAGTTTATGTTTAGGTTGGTCTGCGATGATGCATGTAGTTATATATTACCTATTTATGTGTTAATTGCAAATACTATTAAAGATACACTCTTTTGCTTACTATAATCATCCTGCAGGTAGAAAGTTGGTAATGAGAAGTTATTACTTGTCAGCTCCCAACCTGTTTCTCTGATAGCACTTGACATAACTTGTTGCATATTTATATTCTGCTTTCACATTTAAAAAAAAAAAAAATACTTTTATAAATTTTTTGGTAGCATGATGAATACCCTTGTACTGTTATGTTTCTTTCTTTCTTTTTCTTTTTCATTTTTTTTTTCTAAACCTTTGGCCTACTTTACTTGGGATGAAGCTAACAGCAATTCCTATTCATGTCCCATATGCCATGCCATGGTTACAGAGATTTCAGAAGTGTGAATATGCGAAAACAAAGCTGTTCAAAACTGAAGGCCGTGGGTGGGGTCTTTTGGCTGATGAGAACATTAAGGTAATCTATAATGAATTGCTGTGAAATTTGGAAGAAGGAACTTGCAAAATTTGATGGATGCCTTTGCATTTTCTGCTTTATTATGGGTATGGCTAATTTTTTAATCATTTCTTTTGTGCAGAAGTGCCACACTAATTTATTTATTTCATACAGGCAGGTCAATTTGTCATTGAATACTGTGGAGAAGTAATATCATGGAAAGAAGCCAAACGTAGATCCCAGGCTTATGAAATTCAAGGTCAAATGTCAATTAATTCAATGTTTCTATTTGATTGGTATTTAAATTCATGTTTTTATTTAACTTTTTGTTTGCTTTGCAGCTGTTAAGGATGCGTTTATCATTTGCCTTAATGCATCTGAATCCATTGATGCAACCAGAAAAGGAAGCCTTGCCAGATTTATAAACCATTCTTGGTAAATCACTTCAAACAAAAATACTAAGATTAAGGAAAATGAACCTGCTAGTATGCAGAAATAGTAGGAATGTTTGCCAAAGGTTTGCCGTCAACTGAATACTTTTAATTTTGCAGTCAACCAAACTGTGAGACAAGAAAATGGAATGTCTTGGGAGAAATAAGAGTTGGAATATTTGCAAAACATGATATTCCTATTGGAACTGAATTGGCATATGACTATAATTTTGAATGGTTTGGAGGTGCAAAGGTTCGCTGCCTCTGTGGTGCACTCAAATGTTCCGGATTTCTTGGAGCAAAATCTCGTGGTTTTCAAGTAAGTTTTGACTAAAGTAGTAATAACCTCAAAAAATTATGTGCTTGAATTCAAATTTCTAAGATCTTAATGCAATTTTTTAGAGTTAAGCCTTTAAAATGCACAGACATGGTGTAGACTTTGAGCTTTGAAGTCCAACCAATAGCTTGAAAGGTGATGATGGTTAGGTGTTTTTTATTCTTTTGATGGAAGATGATTGGATACTGAAAATATGGTGTTAGTAAGGCTTGGATTAAAGTTGTGGGCTCTTATATTTGATTTGATTAAATTAGTTTTCATTCAGTGGAGCATGTGCTCAAATAATTGTTTCAAGATCAACATTGTAGAAAATTAGAATTCAAATTCAAATATTTTTCCGTTTTTATTTCCTATTAATTAGGAATAATTAAGATTAATTAGGATTGATTGTTTTTTATTTCCTATTAATTAGGATTAATTGTAATTGATTAGAATTAATTGTAATTGATTAGAATTAATTGTGATTAGGTTTAGTGAGTCATAGCTGAGTCATTCTTATGATTGTGATTAGGTTTGGTGAATCATAGCTGAGTCATGCTTAGCTATTTTTTCTTGTATAAATACTCCTCATTCCTCATGTAATTATTCATATCAATATACTGAAAACCTTTTTCAATATGGTATCAAAGCAAGTTGGTCCTGAGAAAACTCAGCCACCACAACCACCGTCAAACCGGCGGCACAACGCCGGAAAACTCAACCTCCAACCATTATTAAGGTTATTTTCCCTTCCTACAAAGTCCCAAGAGCAAAGTAAGGCTACCAATCACTGTAGAAGGCAAAATCCCAGCTTTCCACCGCCGTCAGCCACCGTCAGCAGCCGTTGGAAAATTTTTCCGGCAACATTTCTGACCAAGATCCGCACCATTCGAAACAGAAGGAGCCGATCTACAAGTTTCAAGAAGGACCATCGGATTCTGCTGAGCCACGCGCCCCCACGCGCTAGAGAAAGGACGGAGCGTCCGCCTTACGCGTTACCACACGCAGCCATGTTGATTGAAAGTAAATTTCCATCCAGCAATGTTGCTCAACAAGGTATAGCGTTCCATGTTGATAATAGTAGTCGATGGATTCTTGATTCAGGGGCTTCAGATCATATGACAGGTAATGCAACCTTATTTTGTTCTTATACCCCTTTCTATCAACAATCACGAATAAGAACAGCAGATGGCATCTTCTCTACTATTGCTGGAAAAGGATCCATTAAACTTTCTGAACACATTACTTTGAACTCAGTCTTTCATGTTCCCTCTCTTACTTGTAACCTTATCTCTATCAGCAAACTTACGTCTGAGTTACATTGTGCCAGGAACACGACTCGGGGCTGATGATTGGCAGTGCTAGAGAGGAAGAAGGACTTTATTATTTAGAAAAAGATTCTTGTGAAGGAAAAAATTTTGCGAACCACTGGGTATGTTTGTCTGATGATTGTAATGATGTTTTGTTGTGGCATCGTCGGTTAGGACACCCAAATTTCATTTATCTTCAGAAGTTGTTCCCAAGCTTATTTATCAATAAAAATCCCAGTTCTTTTTCTTGTGATATTTGTCAGCTTGCAGAACATTCTCGTGTTTCTTATCCTCCTAGAGTCCATCATGATTCTTCTCCATTTACCTTGATTCATAGTGATATATGGGGTCCAGCCCGTGAAAAAAATATTTCTGGTGCTCGTTGGTTTATAACTTTCATAGATGATCACTTTAGGGTATGTTGGGTATACCTTCTAAAGGATAAGTCTGACGCTGCATCCATTTTTAAAAACTTTCATACTATGGTTCAAACTCAGTTCCAGACCTCTATCCAAATTCTTCGAACTGACAATGGTATTGAATATTTTAATTCTGTTCTTGGAAACTATCTCAGCCAACATGGTATTCTTCATCAAAGTTCTTGTCCTAACACCCCTCAACAAAATGGGGTGGCTGGAAGAAAAAATAGACATCTCCTTGAAGTTGCTCGAGCTCTTATGTTTACCATGCATGTCCCTAAATATTTGTGGGGGGAAGCTGTCTTGACTGCAACATACCTCATCAATCGGATGCCTTCTCGTGTCCTAAATTTTCAATCTCCTTTATCTTGTCTTACCCACACCTTTCCTTCTTTTCGGGTTCATTCTTCGCTTCCTCCCAAGTTGTTTGGCTGTGTGGCTTTTGTACATGTTCCTTCCCATCAAAGGTCCAAGCTCGATCCTAAGTCCATTAAATGTGTCTTCATAGGATATCCTCCTAACCAAAAGGGCTACAAATGTTACTCATCTTCACTTCGTAAGGTCTTTGTTTCTATGGATGTCACATTTGATGAGAGACAATCTTTTTTTCCTTCGACTTCTCTTCAAGGGGAGTCTATTGGGGTTGATGAAGATAAGTCTTGGAAACCAAATGATTCTGTTGTTTTGCCTTTGCCGTTGGAGACAGGGGGAGTCATTATGAAAAAGACAGGGGGAGTTAATGTGTCAGATAATGGAGATCCTCCCGGGAAATGGGGAAAGTTTTACAGCAGGCGAGAATCACCTCAGGAGCCTCTAGACTGCCAGGATTCTGACTCGAGTCTTAGTTCCAGCAACACTGATACAGCCAACCTAGATGTGCCTATTGCTCTTCGAAAAGGTACTAGATCTTGTACTGCTCATCCTATTTCTCATCATATCACATATGAAAAGTTGTCTCCAGGTTTTCGTGCTTTCAACACTATGTTAGACAGTACAAAAATACCAAAAAATATCCAAGAAGCACTTGATGATCCAAAATGGAGGAATGCAGTCTTTGAAGAAATGGATGCACTCAACAAAAATGGAACTTGGGAGTCTGTAGCATTACCCAGAGGAAAGAAAACAGTAGGTTGCAAGTGGGTGTTCACAATAAAGTTTAATGCAGATAACAGCATCAACAAGTATAAGGCCAGACTGGTTGCTAAGGGATTCGCTCAAACTCATGGGATAGACTATCAAGAGACATTTGCCCCTGTTGCCATTCTTAACACTATCCGAGTTCTTTTATCACTTGCTGCAAATCTTGGTTGGCCCTTGCAACAATTAGATGTAAAGAATGCTTTCTTGAATGGTGATCTACATGAAGAAGTTTATATGGATCCACCACCTGGTTTTGAAAAAGGAGACGATTCAGTATGCAAGTTGAAAAAGTCTCTCTATGGTCTTAAACAATCTCCTAGAGAGTGGTTTGAGAAGTTTACTCAAGCTGTTAAGGGAAGAGGATTCCTCCAAGCTCAGACTGATCACACTTTATTTTTAAAACACTCTAATGGTGGTAAAATTGCTATTCTCATTGTTTATGTTGACGACATAATTGTCACAGGTAATGATTGTGAGGAGATAAGCTCTTTGAAGAAATGTTTAGCTAATCAGTTTGAACTGAAGGATCTTGGATCTCTCAAATATTTCCTAGGCATGGAAGTTGCTCGAAGTAAGGCAGGAATTTCTTTAACTCAGAAGAAATATATTCTAGACCTGTTACAAGAAACATGAATGCTTGGGTGCAAGCCAGCAGAGACTCCAGTTGAACCCAATATTAAATTGGGAATCGAAGATGGGAAAGAAGTTGACAAAGAGCAGTATCAGAGATTGCTGGGAAAGTTGATCTACTTATCTCACACTCGGCCTGATATTGCATTTGCAGTTAGCATGGTTAGTCAATTCATGCATTCTCCTAAGGAAAAACACTTGAGTGCAGTTTATAGAATTCTGAAGTACATCAAAAACACCCCTGGACGAGGATTGTTCTTTAAAAGGGGACACAAGAGGATGATTGAAATATATACAGATGCAGATTGGGCTGGCTCTGCATTGGACCGAAGATCCACTTCAGGATATTGCACCTATATTTGCGGAAATCTTGTGACCAGGAGAAGTAAGAAACAAACAGTTGTTGCCCGGAGCAGTGCAGAAGCAGAATTTCGGGCTCTAGCCCATGGTATTTGTGAAGGAATTTGGTTAAGAAGACTCCTTGAGGAATTGAAGATCTCTTTTTCCCTACCTGTCAGAGTGTATTGTGATAATAAGGCTGCTGTCAATATTGCTCAAAATCCAGTTCACCATGACAGAACAAAACATGTGGAGGTTGATCGCCACTTTATCAAAGAAAAAATAGATGATGGAAGTGTATGTATGGTGTATATTCCTACCAAAGAGCAGATTGCAGATATTCTCACTAAGGGCCTACACCGGCCAGCCTTTGAAGACTTGATTGGCAAGTTGGGAATGATCAACATTTACCTCCCAACTTGAGGGGGAGTGTAGAAAATCAGAATTCAAATTCAAATATTTTTCCGTTTTTATTTCCTATTAATTAGGAATAATTAAGATTAATTAGGATTGATTGTTTTTTATTTCCTATTAATTAGGATTAATTGTAATTGATTAGAATTAATTGTGATTAGGTTTAGTGAGTCATAGCTGAGTCATTCTTATGATTGTGATTAGGTTTGGTGAGTCATAGTTGAGTCATGCTTAACTATTTTTTCTTGTATAAATACTCCTCATTCCTCATGTAATTATTCATACCAATATACTGAAAACCTTTTTCAATAAACATCAACATCAAAATCACCTTTATTCCAAACTAATTGAGGTTGATGGTCAATGAACTCAAATAAAATCAAGAACAGATAGCGAGAAAAGAATAAATAATAAAGACAAAATAAATAAATATATGCAAAAAGGACTAAAAAACAATCTGTAACATAGGAAAAAATCTACCCCTCCACAATGCTAATAGATTTCCTCCACTCCTACTTCAGACAAAGCATATACCAATCTATTTTTCACTCAATTAAGTCTCGTTTTACTACTTTTCCCCCCAAGTAACCCCAAGTAAGTTTTGACATGCTTCTTTCTTTAGTTATGTTATGCTCTTGGTAACAAACTTCTTATCTTACTAGAGCCTCTATGGGTCTTAAATGGGGAAAAAAACCTAGCAGCTGTTGCAATAATGGGAAATGGCTTGCGGTGTCCTTGTTTTGGGTTTTTGTATTGCTTTTTATTTTTCATTGATTATAATTGGTTTTTAATCATCTAATTTTCCTCATGTTGGAAAATTTGAGCAGGAGGATACTTATCTATGGGAAGATGATGATGACAGGTAATTTATAATTTATCCTTTTTTTGTGATGCATTCATCTCTGAATAACAGCTTTTATTTTCTGTCAGTATATGTGAGACACCACTTGCAATAAGCAACATCAAATGATTCAGTATTGAATACCTGGCACCTGAAACTAATGTCATCATTTCAATTTTCCCCCTTTTTTGAGTTTGGGGAAAGAAATACAAATTCTTTTAAGGGTTTGAATAGTGGCTAGAGGGTTGTAGTTAAAAATGTTCGGGTATTTGAATATTAGGAAAATATGTGTTAAAAAAATGATGGGCCCAAAGAACCAAGTGGGCCCGCCTCTGTTACTTAGTTCTAGTTAGTTAAAATTGTTAGAGAAGTTGTTAGATTTACATAGTTAGCCTGTAACTGCAGTGTCCCGAGTTAGGATATAAATATAGGGACTAGGGAGAGAATGTAAATGAGGGGAGTGAGTTGATCAGTTGTGAAGTTAAGGGCCGGCAATTTCAATCCCCTGGAGTTGAGAGAGAGAGAGAGAGACAGACGGAAACATCCATTATATTCAAGTTTTAATCTTCCTCTACCTTTGGGTCATTCTTCTGATCCTGAGGTGAGGTTATAGCGATAAAGATTCAATCAAGATTCAATTTCTTTTCTATTATTTCCTAATTCTTGAATCATCTATCATATTACTTCAATTCCTTTTCCATGTGATGTTTTGGTTCATTAATTTTTGCTGATGTTATTGGTTACAGGTACTCTGTTGAGAAAATTCCTGTATATGACTCTGCTGAGGATGAACTGGTGTCAAAGGTTAATGGACAAACTGAACACTCCATGGATGTTATACTTAAAGCTGAGCAACTATCGAAGTCCACTTCTTTTAATGTTCAGCCACTTGGCTCAGTTGAGATAAAGGGTTTAGATGTCAAGAAGATTAAAACTGATGTAATAAGCGAGGATATGAAATTGTACTCTCAAGATACTGAACAGTCCTTTTCACAAAAGAATGCAATGATATCGCGAATCCGAAGTAATACTGCGGGCAGAAACTATCGCATTGGACCTATGTCCATGTCTACCAAAAGATCAAAAGCATATAATGGGGGAAGGTTTAAAAATATCATACAGAAGAAAATTGATGCAAAGTTTGCAGCTTCCCTCTTAGAGTCAAAGGAAGCACAAGGGGAGATTTTAAAATATGAGGTATGACTTTCTTTAGTATTTTCTTTTGTGCTGAATATTATCACTTGGCTTTAGATTTTGTTATTAATGGACTTAATCTTAGTTACGAAGGTATTTCAAATTGCAAAGATAGTTTTAACAGTGTAGTTATCGGTTTTGTAGTTGGATATGGCTTGTTTTAAATGATTAGTCAGAATCTAGATTTGTTATTTGGAAAAAGAAATAAAAAAATCAAATGCAGTTTAGTTTGAGGCGGAAGCCGAAAAGAGTTTAACTAGGGGATGGCTGTGCATGATGTAGTAATGTCGTAACTATAAAAATTGTTTGATTTGATCTCAAACTTCAAACTTATCACACATTTGTAATGTGCAGTTGCGGACCTCCCAGATCTTATTTTTGGTTTTAAATTGGGGAATTCCCTTACTTCCTCTGTTAACAATTGCTTCTTAATGCACATATCATCACCGAAATAATTGAATTGTTAGGCATAACTTAGAAGAGAATTGCCGTGAGGTTTGGTGCTTCATCCCAAAATGCTTTATTTCGTTCCATTGTTTACTGTGTAACGTGATTTTCATTTATATTTCCATGTCTGGTTTTGTGTTCAGCTCTAATTTTAAGGTTTCCATGCAGGAAAGAAAGAATGACGCTACATCTGCTCTTGATTCCTTATACAATGAAATACGGCCAGCTATTGAAGAACATGAGAGGGATAGCCAAGACAGTGTATCTACGACTGTAGCAGAGAAGTGGATACAAGCTTGCTGCCTAAAATTGAAGGCGGAGTTTGATCTTTACTCGTCAATTGTCAAAAATTTTACTTGCACCGCTCAAAGGGCACCTGGCCAACCAAAACCTACTGAAGTAGATAGCGAAAACGAAATTAAGCTTTTGACAGGTTGAAATTCTTATCACATTTTTTCGTCTATAATATGTAATTCATGATTTTGCAAAAAATATGGGCAACTTTCTATTTTGATTTATTCCATATTTATCATATGAATACTTTCATTTAATTGTAAATAATTTTTATATGATAACGTTCCATTTTTTTGGTAGAGATTAATGGATTTTAAATACAGTAATGATAATAAAAAATTAATTTAAATATCAATATAATGTTAGCATATTAATACTTACGGCTAATAACAAATACTTTTTTTTAGGAGTTATATACATTACTTTCTTAATTTTAATACTGTACAATTTGTTGCTCTGAATTTAATCATTATGAAATCTCTGTTATTATGTGTTATTACATATAAATGCGTTTAATTACGTCGTATGATTTGTACTTATTCTCAAAAGTTAAAGTTGGTTTATTAAATGTATTCAAACTATATAAAAAAGAATTTTTTTTTTTTTTTTTAAAGTTAGTGGCATGTAGAGGATGAAAATAATAATGACATTAATTTGTTACATATATATATATATATATCTATGATAATTTATTTAATTTGCCAGCTGTCTTTGTTGAGTTGATTGGAATCTGGATGCAATTAGGGGTGTGCAAAATAATTAAAAAAAATAAATTGAACCATGAACCGAATCGAATTGCACTTAAAATAATCGGTTTTAAAAAATCAATTCATGAACCGAACCGGTTTTTCAAGAACCAGTTTTTGAACCGAACTAATTTTTTGAACCAGTTTAACAACTAATTTGTTTCTGAACCGAATTGAACCGTTTTTTAACCCAATCAAATTGTTTTTTATAATTTTATGTTTTAAATTTTTATTTTTTTTCCTTTTCAAAATAGGATCGACTCGAACCGGTTCCGAACTGAACCAAACAGTTTCCAATCGAATCAAACCAGTTTTGAATCGAATATAACCATTTTCGAACCAAACCGTTTAAATCAATTCGATTCGATTTTTCAAAAAAATCAGTTCGGATCAACTCATGCACATCCTAGATGCAATAGCACCTAAGAATTGTTAATTGATCGGAAAGGAATGAACAGGTCCCGGATGTCCCACGAGGTAATGTATGTATGCGCTTATTTCTGAGACGGTTTTATAAGATAACATGTTAGACAAAATGAATAAATAATAAAAGCAGGAATTAGGAAATTTTTTATTTGTTGATTTTCTTAATAGTGTTATAGATTTCAATCGTAGGGTTGATTGATCGTTTTGTTCCTTTTTTTTAAATTAATTTATTAAAATCATTAAATTTGATATAGTAATGAGAAATTTGAATAGTTTATATTAAGTTGTGTGTTCAATTTCTATCAATGTATCCAAAAAAATTATAATTTATCATTTTTTTTTTCAAATTATATACCCATCTATTTTTGTTTGACCTAAGTTTGACCCACATTTACTTGAGTAAGAGAGTCAAATATATAGTTTAAACACTTATCTCTATTTACTTGATTAAACAGAGATAAATTAATATATAATTTTTTTGAAAAGCAAATCGACATATAGTTTGAAAGGCCTTTTGATCTTGGTAGTGTAATATTTATAATGTTTGACCGAAATAATTTCTTGGTCAAATGTATTACCTAAATAATGCATAACGACGCGGTAGGGTGAGTAACGTTTTAAGACATGACACATAGGCAACCGCGTCCTGTGTACTGGTTCTGGACCCACTGGGACACGTTAGTCTTTTGCAAAAATATATGTACGGGACACGGTACTGCATCAGCCGCGTTCCAGTAAGAAAGATAAACAAAGACACACTCCTATATGTATTGGCTATTGTCCTTTGAGACACTGCTATATTCAAAGTGTATATACTTTATCTGAATTTTGTTATTATCTATGTACCAAAAAAGTGACACAAGTTATATATATATATATATATATATATATATATATATAGGGAGATGATTCTCTCCGGTTGCCGAGGAGAAAGCATCTCCTGTTGTCTCACAGATTTATTTTTTAAGTTTTTTGTTTATTTTTTTATTAACTGAAATAAAGGGACCCACACAAAAAAGGTTTGAGTGACATGAGAGATGAAACTATCTGCAACATAAGAAAAGTTTTTGCCATATATATATATATATAGGATTTTATAAGAGTTATGTTGTAGAAAAAGTGATTGTGTAATGTTATAGAGATTCATTTTACGTGCCATAATATCTTTTTTTTCTTTTTTTTTCAAAAAGTGTGGGCCCCACAAAATGTTGTGTGTGTAGGAAAATTTATTGTGTCATGTTAAATGACAAATACAAACCCCAAATATATATGTGGTGCGTGAGTTGGATTTTGCGTGACTTATATATATATATATATGTGTGTGTGTGAAAAAATATTTATCTTTTTAAATGATACAAGTTATGTCATTTCACTCTCAAAAAGAGGTGAGACTTACACCTTTATTTTTTTTGTCAACTCTATCTCCTTCTTTATCTATCTTAAAATGACATAATTTTACATTCTTCAAAATGACACACATTTTTCTTATATATATATATATATATATATATATATATATATATATATAATTTAAAATTTATTTCTTGATTTACTGGTGTTTGTTCTGACCCTGCTATGTTATTCAATATTGTGTTTGTCTGAGAAAATTTGAAGAGCCGGTGATGGGATTTTTTTTAAATATCGGATTTTTTTATTTTTTTCTTGGGGAGGGTTCATGTTATTTGAGAAGTATCTTTTCAGAGATTTATTTTTATGTCATGCAAACATGTGTCATTGGACTGAAGCTTAGTTGTTAATCCTTCTGAATATAGCAGTGTCTCAAAGGGCAATAACCAATACATATAGGACCGTGTCTTTGTTTATCTTTCTTACTGGAACGCGGCTCACACTGTACCATGTCTTTTGCATTATTTTTTTAGATGCGACGTATTGATACGCGGTTGATGCAATAACGCGTCCTGTGCATATATTTTTGCAAAGGACGCGACTGAGAGAGTAACGCATCCCAGTGGGCCCAGAATCAGTGCACAGGACGCGGTTGTCTATGTGTCATCTCTTAAAACATTACTCACACTACCACGTCGTTATGCATTATTTAGGTAATATATTTGACCGAGAAATTATTTCGGTCAAACATTCTAAATATTACACTACCAAGATCAAAATGCGAGTTTGAAAAAAAGGAAGAAAGTGATAATTTTTTTATCATAATTGGGGCAAGATGGTCAATCAGACCCAACCACGGTGTTGTAACATCAAACATATGAAATTCATGGAAACATAGCTTCTCAATGGGTCATATTTTAAATATTAACATGATTATGTCACGTAAAAAAAATTATAATCACACAAGAATTAATAATTTTATAACTATTTTTATTATAGTTGATTCATCCTTATATAATTGAAATTCTCTAACATATTCATGTTAAATAACACAAGCCATATTCTGACACAAGATATTTGTAATAGAATCCAAACACACCTTACAGTATAATTCATTCACGTTCACGCCAACAGAGAATAAATAATAAACTAAGAACAGAGAAGCTAACTCTAACCCCTCTTTCCTTAAAGTCAACACACTACCAACTAACTTCAATCAAGTCACCAAGACTCCAAGAGTGCTAGGGTTACCAAAAGTAAAATTACCCAACCTACAAACTACAAACCAAGTGTGAAAAAGAAGCACATGACATTGACAACACAGAGAAAAAGAAAAAAACGCACACAAGAAATAAATAAATAAATAAATAAATAAATAAAAAAGTGTAATCAAATAAAATTGACCGGTCCGGTCTTCGACAACACCTTCCTGGAAATTCCACCATTCACCGTTCAAGGCCTTACCCTCTTTCTCTCTCAATAATTTCACTTACCCTCTCTAAACTCTAACGAACCCAACTATTTCTTTCTCATGGATCACGGTGTCCAAGCCGTCATCGCCGCCACCGGAAGCTTCTTCGTCGTAACCCTCGTCTTCGCAGCCATCATCCTCGTCTGCCAGTACCGCAAGTCCACCAAAGCCCGAAACCGCACCACCCAGCTCCGAACCCGACCCGTTCCCAACCCGGAAAGGTCCTTCTCCAACGCCGTCGTCGACGCCAGCTGGTCCTTCGACCCAAACCTGAAGATCTCGATGGAGGAGCTGGCCCGCGCCACCGACAACTTCTCCCCGCACCTCATCGTCGGCGACGGAAGCTTCGGCCTCGTTTACAAGGCTCGGCTCTCCACCGGCGCGGTGGTCGCCGTGAAGAAGCTCTCCCAGGACGCCTTCCAAGGCTTCCGCGAATTCACGGCGGAGATGGAAACCCTAAGCAAGCTCCGCCACATCAACATCGTGAAGATCCTGGGCTACTGGGCCTCCGGGCCCGAACGGTTACTCGTCTACGAGTTCATCGAAAAAGGGAACCTCGATCAATGGCTCCACGAACCTTCTTCCCCTGACCCTGACCACGTTTCCGTTTCCGTTTCCAACGACTTTCGATTACCCTTATCTTGGGTAACAAGAGTCAAGATCATTCACGGCGTGGCCCATGGGCTTTGCTACTTGCATGGGCTTGAGAAGCCCATAATTCACAGGGACATCAAGGCTAGCAATGTGTTGTTGGACTCTGAGTTTGAGGCCCATATTGCTGATTTTGGGCTTGCCCGGAGGATTGACACTTCGCGTTCTCATGTGTCAACGCAGTTCGCCGGTACCATGGGTTACATGCCACCGGAGTATAAGGCTGGGCTTAACGTGGCCAACCCGAAGGTAGATGTATATAGTTTTGGGGTGTTGATGATTGAAACGGCCTCGGGCAAACGGCCCAACTTGCCGTTGAAATTGGACGACGTTGACATTGGGCTGGTCCAATGGGCTCGGAAGATGGAGGAGCGGAATGCTCATATGGATATGGTTGATGCTAATATTTCAAGGGAAGGGTTGAGGGAAGAGAGTGTTAAGGAGTATCTACACATTGCTTGTAGGTGCACTAATGAGTTGCAGAAAGAAAGGCCTGAAATGCCTGAGGTTGTCAAATTGTTGGACTCAATGCCGGTTTGAAGGATTTGCTGTGGTGATCATCAAAATGATGTACATAGAATCGAGAAGATTGCAAGTAAGATTAATTTAATGTAATTCTATTATATTATAAGGGATAGCATCCTTTAACACCGATTTGACACCAAATTTAAACCGTTGATTTTCGTTAATCAACAGTTATTATTTATTGAAAATTAATAATTAATTAATAAGTTTAATTTTCAATAAATAATAACCGTCGATTGACAAAAATTAATGATTAGTTTTTGGTGTCAAATTTTAAAGTTTGACACCAGTGTCAATAAATTCTGCCTCATATTATAATATTAGTTTACACATGGTTCATTAATGATAGTAGTATTGCTTGAAAAGCATTTGTTACATTTTTTTGTTGTCGTTGCCAATTGAGTTGTGTAATGAATTTCGCGAGATGAGAATTTTAAACAAAAGAAAAGGTTGGAAGCCATAGAAAAGCTCTCGAATTCCTTTTCCGAGTCCTTTTTTTTCCACTTTATACGGAGTTTATTGTTACCATCTCATTGCAAGGTCCGAGATATGTCTCACATTGAAAATATAAGATTCTGGCGTGAAGTTTATATGGACTTTGAGTTTCTTTATCTTTTTGAGATGAGATTCTCTTAAGTTCGTATCAATTAATATCAAAGTTGTTACAAGACTTGAGCCCCATATTAAAAACATAAAGTTGTAATATAGGTTTTATATGGACTTTGGACTCTCTTACTTGTGATCTAACTTTTGGGATGAGGTTCTAAAAGGTTTGTATCATTTATAAACATAGCGATATAATTGGCATGCAGTTTTATAATCACGATTATTATTTGGGCTTTGTTGTTTGTATAGTGTTATCGACATGACACAAATGGATTGATAATAACTTGTTATTATAAGCATTGTTAATAAATTCGGATTGGATCGGCTGGGTCGGTGAACCAGTCATATAACCCGTCCTGGTGAATCAACGGATAGGTTATGCATTGGACTCGGTGCGATCCTACCAGTTTTGATAAAAATCAGTGACCCGACCTAGTTTATTAAAAAAAAATTCAAAAAAATAATCATAATTGACATATTTGAGTAATCTGTTGCTTATTGACTTACATAAGTTATGTACTTACAGTACTAATATTATCATAGTTATGTACTATGCAGGGAATTTTAATTTGATTTATAGTTAGAGATATCATTTACTGAACCTGAAACACCAATATCACAAGTATTATATGTTTGTTTGATCTTTTATTGGACAATAATATGTAATCTATTATTTTTATATTAAAATGTTTAGAATTTATATTATTTTTTTAATATAAATTATAGATTTACATATAATTACCGGGTTATGCGATTCAACAAGTGGTGATCCAGTGACTCGGTACCTCGACTGGGTCAATGAGTCAATTTTAATAACATTGATCATAAGTGTTTTGGCCAGCTACCATAAAGGCCTAACATGTCAGACCTAGTAAATTAGCCTACTTCTAAGACCTTCTAGAATGACACCACATACCCCTACACGGGCAATATATCTTGTCTGGTGACAAGAGTTGCTTAGGGGAAACAACTCCCCTCTATATATACCCACTTGCATTGCTAAAATAAGCTCATTACTCACCTTATGAGTCGTGACTCCATAGCCATGGACTATGATGCACGGACACGGACATGGGACACGACACGCTGACACGTTAATTCTAAAAAATGTTATATCTGGACACGTTGGGACACGTTTTGATATTAAATAAAATTTTTAATATATAATATAATTTATATTTAATACATATGAGAATCCATAATAAGTCATATAATCAATTAAATATTTAAATTTTATAATATAAATATTAAAAAAATCAAAGTTGAAATAATTGATTTTAAAAATCTTAATATTAAAAAAAATTAATTTATATTGATGAATAATATTTTGCAAATGAATTTAAAAAAGTGGCATGTTATTCTTATACAATCTTTTTTTTTTTTGTAATATATTCTTATACAATCTTACATTAAATCGGATCAATGATTTGCTTGTACGTGATGACTGATGACTCATTAAATATAAATAACATCAACCAAATCTTAGAGTATAACTTAAAAATATATATTTATTTGAATGATTTATTATTTTATTTTTCCTTATAAGTTAATAACATCATTATGTGGACATTTTTCATGTTCACTTTTCCGTGTGGGTATTATTATTCTCTGCTCCTTTCAAACGTTTTGATCCTATGCAAACATAGAATACGGATACGGAACATTCTAGAAACCAACGCAACCCTCTTTCTCTCACTCTTTCACTTTCCCTTCCCTATAATTTCTCTGTCCATTCATCTTCAATTTTACAACCCCTCTCTCTCTGGTTTTCGCTGTTTCGTTTTCCAAATCCTCCGTATCTGAATCCCCTTTGAAGTTTGAGTATGGCATCGAAACGCATCTTGAAGGAGCTCAAGGATTTGCAGAAAGACCCTCTTACATCGTGCAATGCAGGTCAACCCTAAGGTGGGTGCGGAGATGCAATTGAAAACTTTCGGCGACCAGCGTCGTGAATCCAACTAGTCTCTTCTCCTCTGCTTCTGCTCCTTTTTATTTGTAATTTTATTTTTATTTTTACAAAAAAAAAAATGCAAAACGTGTCCCAAAACGTTGACCGCGTGTCGGATACGGTCAAATTCGCGTGTCCCATTAGTCAACGTGTCCTAAAAAGTCAACCACGTGTCGGACGCGTTTCCGAACGTGTCCGTGTCCGACACGTGTCGGACACGCATTTTTTCTCAAAAAAGGCGTGTCCGTGCTTTAGAGGCCATGGACACACACACATACCCATATAAAGAAAAGGTCCACAAGTGCACCTTTAAGTTAGAGGATACACATTTAAAGTTGCCATACAAATGGCTCTTTAGTTGTGGAAATAGTTTTTGGTTTAATAATAAGTTCTCGATCCAATACGTGGTATTAAAGTCGAGGTCATGAATTTGATTCCTTGTGATAACACTTACTAGAGGCATGTGTTGTGGAACTGGAGGCTAACATCCTACATTGACAAGGTTTAATATGGAATCAGAGTCAGATCAAACCCTAGCTATAATTTTTGACCTAATGATAAACACTCGAATCAACACTTTAGGTACAGAAAAATCAAAGATACATAACAATTATGCTCTTTAATTTTTATTAGTTCTTAGAGCTTGTTCAAGATTATTGCAAAACAAGCTAACTTCTCACTGTCAGACAGAGCATACCATTAACATATTTCTAATATGGGGAAACTATTTCTGTAGTTGTGGCAGAAATAGTTTATCTTCACAGACATAAAAAAGGAGTGGGCTCAGTCAAATTTTTCTCTGTCATTTCTTTATAGTTTATCTCTCTCTCTCATTTTTGTGTATGTGGTAGACAAATTATTTCTGCTACAATTGCGGGAATAGTTTTCCCTTCTAATATTCCTTTCACTAGAGGTGGCAATATAGGTTGGTCCACCCCGATCCGTCACCAACTCGCCAAAAACAACTGGCCCCCGCCTTTGAATGTGGGTTCAAAAATTCAACCCATCTCGTTTTATGGTGGGTTGGCGGGTTGCCATTTAAAAAATAATTAAAATTTAAAAATAAATTATATTTTATAAATTTTTAATATTACTTAATTTCATTTCACACTCCCTTAATTTTTTCCAATCTCAATTTTAAATGTATATTAATATTCAGTCAAATATTCTTTAGGAACTCATTTTTATCTCTATATATGGATAAAATTTCTCATAAATAAAAATTTTCTTCTTTATTTTTTTAGGGGAGTACTAAGATAAATTTTTTTGGATATCACAAAAATTTAATAACAAATAAAATTGTACATAACAGTAACAGAAATAAAAATAAGAATATGACCCAGCGGGCCATCCTGTCCCGACCCGCCGCTAACCCATTTTGACCCACAACCTAGCGGGGCGGGTTGAGGCAGGTTGGTGGGTTGAGATGTGTAACCCAACCCATCTCGTTTTGACGGGTTAGTGGGTTGACCCATCGGGTTCAACCCATATTACCACTTCTACCTTTCACATTCTTTTCCATTTCAAAAATAGGTTTTATTAATCTCGTGTTAAAGGAGATAAGTTATCTCATGTCATAGAGACAAACTTGTGGGCTCCATCGCCTGGAAAAAAAAAGAAAAAAAATGGCACATTTATCGAAAGGTGTGTAGGAAAAAAATTTATCTCATGTATCATGAGAATAGTTTTTTCCTTCAAAAATAATTATGTTTACGGTGATAGTTAGGCCATGATACGAAAATACAGAAGGTGTGAAAAAAAATGAAGGAAGACTATTATTCAGTCATGAAATCAAATTTTCTATTGAATTTAAGTATTTAGCAACTACTGTGGAGACATTGAGACGTTGGAAGAGCCACAACTTATTGGACTTTTATATGGTGAGGGATGAGTAAATGCAGTTAGCTAATGACCATATTACCTTATGAACGGTTGGACTGTAATTAATGAGAATTGATAAATATAAACACTCATTTTTCTTATTTTTTTCCTTTTGAAAATTCCTGTAGTTTTTTTTTTCTATCTCTCTCTCTCTCTTGCTCGATTTAATTAATTTATTTAATTTAAACTAAATATAACTAAAGTATATTTATTCATGAAACATCTCACCTAATTGACGCGTTGATTATATGAGTGACTGGTAGGTTGACGAATCCCGACCAACCCTACTGTTTTTCGTTTCTCCGCGTTCTTCTATTTTACTTAGGTGCTGTTTGGTTGGGGTTTTCTTAAAAGTTGCCTATGCAAATTGAGTTGGCAATTGTGGAAGTCCTTATTTGGAAGACAGTTTCTTAAAATTTTTCCACCTATTCAATTTGCATAGCTTTTCATATTTGGCCGTAGAAATGGAGCACAAGTCACTGTTTAGAAAAACTTCTTTGACATGATTTTCCAAAGTTAGCTGGGTATATGGCAAAAGTGAAAGTGAACCCGGACGAAAATACCCTCACCACCAGTCATAAGCTTATCTGCAAACGTGTCTCGTCCTGCACCCAAGTCTTCGCGCGCTTCTTCGGTGCCTTTATCTCAACCTCGGGATCCTCCCTGCTGCTCTCGCCGAGGATCATCGGCGGCGGTTGCTGGTGGTGCTGTGGCGGCGGTGGAAGCTCGTCGTTCAAGACCACCTCGATCATTATGTCTCGCATCCCTTCTTCTTTGTAAAAATCGATGGGACGAGGCTTTTCTGATAAATACATGCTATCTATGCTTCCCTAATTGTGTTTGAAATCGGTTTCAGGGTTTGTTTT